GTACTAATATAAGCTCTCTTGACGTCTATTTATTCATCAGTTTTCACATTAAAATTTCACTTGGCCACACTTTAAAAAGATAAACAACATAGCAGTGGCCCATCAGCACTCTTCACCTTTGCATAGAGATGCATCTGAGCCTATATTAAGGCTGAAGCTCCAAAAAGGTGGCAATTTACCACAAATTCCTGAATCCTCCGCTCTGCAGTGGAATAAATATACATTGCCTAATTAACATAAACGACAGCAAATGCCCTGTGTTCTCGGAGGGAGGGCTAACAGCACTGCAGTTCAGCATGCACAGAGGCATGGCAGCACCCTGTGCTGCCACTGTCACCCTGGAATGGGATCCAGCTTAGGTGGTGGCACCTCAAAGCTCTGCAGTCTGTCCTGGGCAAGGAGAGTGGGGAGCTGGGCTGCTCCCTCACTCCCAGCTCCTCATAAAGCCCCGAGATATAATGCCCTATAAAGTTCAATATAATCCCTGGGGGTCGATGAGGTCCCATACAGCCCTATGGCAGAGGAATGCTCCAGGGCAACCCTTCCAAGAGACAGCCTAAGCCTGGCACCCCTGGGACATGGTCCTGCTTTCCTAGCAACCAGGGGCTGGACTGGGACGGGTAGGATCCCGTGTGGCTGGGGCCGTACACGGAGAGCCCTCATGGGGTCTGCAGCACGGCCGGAAGAGGGAGGGAAGCATGGAGAGACCGCCCTGTGAGGCAGTGGGAGCTGGACCTGGCCCAAGCACGAGGGCGCATCGTCTCCAAGATACAGTGGCTTGGGGTAGCTTTTCCTAAACAAAGAGCATTATAAAGGAGCCACTGCTGGAAATTTCCATTCCTTTGTTGGGTTGATGCTGTGTAAATAAATGCAGTCCTAAGATTTTTCATAATCCTGGAAAGGTCCGTAAATGAAATTGTATAGTTTGCCAAATCACTGGAGTTCATATATATTATTCCTCAGCTGCCGGGAACATGATATACAATGGCACAGAATATAATGCAAGAAACATATGCTAAAAGTCTTCTTAGAAGCACTCTGTGCATTTGTATGTGGCATGTACAGATATTTCTTTTGTTTTGCTCTATGGGATCTAAAATATTCAACCCATATTACAACTTGGGTTTGTGAATTACTTACCTTAACTCTAAATAATCCTTACTTGACAAGTGACTTTGGTGGCAGCATTTAGTTATTCCCTGGTTTAATGTGTGGGTGCTTTGAAAGCATTATAAATTAGTACGTGAGATAAATGTGTAATCAACCTTTTACTTTATTCTTTTGCTTTTCTTTATATTTGAATTTTATTTAAAAACAAGACAATTCGGGAAGATCCCAATTTTGATAATGATATTGTGCCAGATGTATTTATAAGTCGAATGGATTAAAAATGCATTTTTAATGTCTTACTTTTTTGTCATATATGAACACTCACTACATATAGAAGAGATTACAGTCCTGTATCCAGTATATTGGTAATGTAAATGTAGGAGTTACTTAAATAGTAAAGACTATGTACCCTCATTGTTAGAAATCAGATCTTTTTCTTAAAATAGGCTAATAACTTCTCCTGCTAATAACTACCCACTTGAATTCAGTTAATCGGTATTTATAAGATCACTTCCCTGTTTAATGTGGTACAAATGCTTCAGAAATTTCTAAAAGAAATTGTCCTTTAGACTACCGGAATGATGTTTATTACTCTTCTTTTTAATTTTTGAACACACTGACATTTATCTTATATTTAGACCTTCCCAACAGCTATGCCTGCTTTCTTTAGGATGAATATTTTTATTTTGAAAATCATATTCCTTACTAATGCAGTTCTACTGGAAATACATAGAAATCTTTTTAAGCGCTTTTCAGTTTTTGATCTCCAAGTTCTAGACAAAAGAGAGCACTTAATGAATAGTTGAATAAAATACAAAAGGTACTTTTGCAACATTTGTCTTCTACTTGTCCAAACTACCATGTTACCATTTATTTCCTAGATATGCTATTTTTCAGTTGGATTAGAAATGTAAAAAACAGCCCCACAACCAAAACAACCTAGAAACCAAACCAAAGCAATCCCTCAAACAGGACTATCTCCATAAGGTAAGCCCTAATCCTTCTGGCTTGCTGGCTAGCTCTCTAATTTTTTTCTGTTTGGACACTGCCACAGCACTTCTAATTCTGCAGTGCTCATCTGAGATCCTAATTTTTCCTGACCTCAGTACTCATATTTGGGGGCTACTATGTCAAAGCATTTCAGCCTCCAGGATGAAGTAGCCTGGTTCAGTCTTCTTTCAAAAGCAGATTATTATGACAAATGTAGGTCTCAAATTGGAATAGATTATAAAAGCTTATTACTGTATTTTAATATAAAATATTGTTAACTAAGGGCATCAAACTTTAAACCAAATTAATAGTACACTATGATCCCAGAGACTGCAGACTAGTAACTTATCTACCACACAAACAGCTGCACAAATCCCTCACATTTATTTTTTCCAGGCTTTCAACTTTCATTAATAACATGGCAAACCCATGCAAGTCTCAACCATATTAATCACAGCTATATTTTTAGTCTTACTGACATGAACACTTTAATATAATAAAAGGGAAAGGAAAACAGAAGAGGTGTTTCATTAGGACATGAGGATTACTAAAACCGCTGCGTGGAGTATTTGCCAGGAGGTGGTAGGGGAAGAGTTATTACTTACATTTTAGCATGTCACTAGGATGCAGAGTGAGAGGATCCCTCAGTGAGATATGTTTGCTTTGAAAAAAATATTAAGTAATCAGATGGTCCAAGCTCTTCTTATTGACACAATCATAATAGCAAATTATAAACTCACTTAAGGAGTTGTCAGCATTACATGGAAAACTATTTTTCCAATTTTGTTATAAAGTCTGGTAATATAACAGTGCTACAAGATCCAGAAATTCACATATTAACCTGCCTGTCCTTTTTTATTGATAGATGGCTACGTGCAAAAATATATGAAGCATGCAACCTGGTTGATTAAAAAAATAGCCCAAACCACAAACCCTCTGCAAATTTGCTCTGGTAGCTAACTACAGGACTTTATAACCTATTTTAAAAACATTTACGAAGAGAAAAAAATCCCCCAAACCCAAAAGCCCCTCACCCCACCCGAATGGCTGATAGAGACAAACCCCCCCAGTATTATTTCAGTAAAATAGCAGCTTCAAAACAAATCCAAAGACTAATGCTTGCCAAATACAAAATTATTCAACATTAAATGTTTGGCTCAGTGATAATGTAATACTGGGAATAGAGTTAAATTTAGTTCAGTCTCCTAACTGACTGTTCATATGACAGGGGTATTCCTTAGATGAGTTTCTGACATTAAATGCAGCTGAATGAATAGTATTGAACACATGAGAAACATAAACAATATTTGGCTGAGTATGTTGTTTGACTTTCTTCTTTCTGCATCTACCTGCCTACACATTTGCACTAGCAGTAATGAGCCTTTTGTAAGGGAGCCAAGCTTTGTAAATCAGAATAATGGGCAAAACCAGTCACACATTTTTTACTTCTATATTGTTTGCATGTAGAAAGCCACATTTCAAAGCCAAGGGGAACAGAACAAAGAGATACAGTCATACAGCATCCTTATAGTGACCCTGAAATCACTGCTCAGGACAGCACCCGAATATCATAGTCATGGCTGTACTGGAAACCACAAAGGGGATGCAATAGCCTACTGAAGAGAAGGGCAGAGCAATAGCAAATACCTTGTCAGACTTTTACTGAGAAGAAAGCATAATTTCTGTTTTGACCTTTACAGCATTTTTAATGTACAACATCTGTAGTATCAGAAATGCAGGGAAACATGGAAGGCACACATCCCAATCTTTTTCTACCCATCAGAAAGCAGGAAAAAAATGTACAGAAAACATTTATATGGCACCACAGAAAGTGAGACCCTATGCACAACTGTATAGATGAACTTCACGACCGGAGGGATTTGTCTCCTACTTGAATGTCACACAAGCACATGTGAACTATTCCCGCTCATCTGCAGTCCCCGTTCTGATATTGGGACTTCGCTTTTTAACTAGCCCAGGCTTGGCTGCAACTAAGATAAATACATTTGGCTGCAACTTTTTTTTTCTTTCAAAAAGAGGCAAACTGGATTATAGCAAATAACCTTTAAGATAATTAACTGACAATGCTGCAACTAGCATAAAATCTTCCTTCAGGCGACCCCTAATTTAAGTATTACTGGCACAAAGTGGAGACAGATTGTGCATCACCACCGCAATATTTACATAGCAGAAACCCACAGAGCAGGAAACGTGAGACTCAATGATGCACTAAATTAGGAACAATCATATTCTAGTGTTAATTTGCTTTCTCCTCTATCCAAAATTCAGGTCCAGCAATTGGTACAAAGGCACATAAAACATTCCCATTTTTAACGATTAAGAACCACAATCTGCAAGCAGTTGTTCTCAAAAGTACCTTCACTCACTACTGAGCACGTTTGCAGGATCAAACCCCCAAAAGTGAAACAGGTCTACTGACATAGATTTTTTAAGAAATTCAAGGTTTCTTAATACATTTATTTATTTCCATAAATGATGTCTGTGCGCAAGCAGTCCGAGTTGTCTGCCAGGCTACCTGTCTTTTGGTCGCAAATATTTTCATCTGACAGTAACACTGTGATTCTCCGGCATAATGGAGAATCAGTTTTAATTCACTGAAGCCGTAGATATATGCAGGTACTCAAAAGGCTGTGTAATCAAAAAATTAAAGTTAAAGTGGGGGGAAAGAAAAGATAGTAGTTCTATTTCTAAATATATTGGGAAGTGAGACATTTATAATAAATATAGTCTATAGTCTATTCGGAGACAGATTTCATAAGCATTCCTCTCAGTTACAGCACACTTCATAAGATAAATGCAAAGAGCCATCCCCAACCTTTCTAAATCTTAAATATTATTCAGATTTGCTTTCCACTATGGTATATTAACAGAATATTTACCTTGCCTAATTGCTGATGTTCTTCAAAAGCAGAAATCAGTTCTTGTGCCCACTTTATTTTTTCAGGGCTCGGAGAGAACTGTTCCTGGACAACAGCAATTTGGTTGGGGTGAATCACCTGCTTACCTACAAAGAAGATTAATAACACCAGAATCATGCATCGACAAACAGATGTTCAAGCAAAATGTTCCAACCACTTGAGGCTCTCATATGCCTTGCAGACTTTCTTGCTCTTTAACTAATTATTTTACTTGATTTTTTTTAATTTTTAAAACTGGAAAAGAGGCAGATAGCTTTTTGCCAGAATTTTTTAAGAATAAAAATATCTTGTGCTATGCTTGCATTCAGTATAGTTTAAAAGAACTCATGATTCTTTCTCCTCCCTCCCCATTTTGATCCATACTTCTTCTCTCAGTCATTTCAGGTGCAATTGTTTGTCTGGGGCAGCCAATAACACTTAAGTATAATGCATCTCTGAATTAACTATATAAATAGCAGCTCCAGACACTCTTAAATAAGTTGTATTAAAGTGTGTTCAGAAAATGAGATCCGAAGAAGATGGCGAGAGATTTGTAGGACTGAAAAGTTACCAGTAACCTAAGGATCATGCCCTAAATTCTCAGTATTGGCTTAGTATCATAAAATCTTCAATGGTGTTTAAACTGTTTTTGCTGCAATTGTTGGCAGTTGCAGGTAGGCTGCAATATTTATTTAGTCACCAGTATGCTAAACAACTACCAGCAGTGCCCTGAGGTTTTATGAAGCAGGGTTTTTTTAATCGTTTCTTGTATAAACGTAAGTTAATAAAAATAGATGTTGCCTTTTTTTTACTAGAGATTTTCAAACATGAATAGACAGCCACATAATCAATTTTAATCCGTGACTGTATTTAGCCACCTTAAAACAAATACATGTCTAATTTGTTTGCTAATTTTAAAAGTGCAACTTTTGACATTATTAGTTCATTTCTATGCGAATTTCACAGACTGGTGTGATTTCTGCAGTTTGCTTTCAAAGTATTTTAATAAAGAGAGGCTACCGTAATTCCCAGTTTCCCGTGGAATTAATAACTCTCCTCGGTGCCAGATAACAAAACTAGTTAGAGGGATGAGCCTGATCCTGCCAACGAGCCAGCAAGTGAGCAGTCCCCTGCAGACCAAGGGTCCCACAGCCCTGCCGTCCGTCCGGCCGCCCGCTGCAGCCTCTCGCGGGAGCGAGACTTGCACGCAAGGAAAAGTTTGGAGCGTCAGGACCTGCGGAGGTTTCCTGCACAACGGGGTCTGCTCCCCTGTTCTTACGGACATTAAGCCAGCTGTACGTTAGAAATCAGCCCACCACTCGATCTGAGAAGCCTCACGCGTGACTGCAGAAATACACGTATTTTCAATGAAATAACCACGGCAAAAAAACCCCTGGGATTACTTTTATCAGACTACAGTGCTTGTGGGTGATAACCTGGAGTACAAAGTAAATCTACTTAATTAAATGAGCAAAGGAATAGTCTTTCAGTGTTGCTGTGTTCCTTTGCTAAAAAGCCATAAGTGGTTCAATTTTATTTCCTATTAAATAACGTTTAGTTTATGATTTTACAAGCATAAAAATACTCAGTTTGAAATTTCAATTTCATAACTATTTTAAAAATAGTTTAAGAATAGGTAAAAGCTTAAAACCCTGTAAGAACTATATTTTTTGAAAGAAATTACAAAGAGATTTTTTTTAAAGCCAACACTTTTTACATGAAGTCTACTTAAAGGTTTTTTAGTCAATTTAATAAAATGACATCATTATTAAGATAATGATGTTCCTTATTTGTAATGTAACAAATTCTCACTAGGTAAACTAGTAATTCTAAAATTGAAATGTGTACCAACAATTCTTGAAAAATCCTAAGGAGCTTAACTTTCTGGGAAAAATATTGAGTATATTTTAAATTATATTTAAAGTCAGTCTATAATGATAACAAAATTAAAAATACATATATATGATTTTTAAAGTGTAAAACATTTCTGTAAAAAATTTGCTTTTTTAAAGATATCTGTAGCAGTAAACTATGCATTTTATCATTAAAACACTACTGAAAAATTTACAGAGAATATAATCTAACTTTTGATTTATAGCATTTGGTTGATTTTTGTCACAGACTACATATCCAAATAACTGTATAACAGACATAATGCCATGCAGGAACGAAGCAAATATTTTAAACAGAATTGTTGTTATTGACAAGTTACTGAGAGAGTGCAAAATTGGAAGACATTAAAATTTATGACCATGAAATCCTTTTTACAGTACCACTTGATATATCGTGCTTTAAATCAATACCTGTCAAGTCTTTGAGGTAACTGTATGATGGTGTCATTTTAGTCTTCTACAAAAGACTGCAAAAGAGAGGAAACCTCTACAGTTTCGTATTTATACCTGGCTTCTCAGCCTGTAGCACAGGACTTTATATAATAACTAAGTTGTCTGTTAAAGCGTATGGCAAGGTTCACCTAATTTTTTACATAAACATTTCTACAACCTATGCCTATTTATATAGGCAACACACTGTTTTAAAGTCCACAGGTACTGGCATTGTAAAACATCTTGCTGTGTGTCTATGGCTATATATGTATATAAATAAATACATATACATATACATATGAAAGGACTATTAATTTGGCTAAATTACATTTGAAAACATTTGATTTCATGTTAATATACTCACTGAAGGAAAACCAGGCTGCTTTTAAGATAACTGGAAAAGAAAACTTAGTTACAATAAACAGTGAGGTTCCCAACAGTAATTACATATCTGGTAAATTCTTTGTTATATTATTTCACTTGTTTAATCTTGAGTGAACATATTTGATTACACTAAGGTAAATTCTACTGGTGTAATATGGGGATATCTAAGGATATATACCTTTAGTGAATATTTTGGATTTGCATTGCTTTTGAGGGTGGTGAATTCAGTCCTGTGCATACAAATAAATGAGTGTTCTCCAGCTAAGAGAGCAATTTGGAAGCCTCAGGTCATCTGATTCTTTGTGAAAAAATAGCAGAAAAGGACCTTATATATTTAAAAATTAGAAGAATTGCACATTTTGGACTTGTTATTAAGGTGACATTTCAGTACTTTACCCTCACATTATCAGAGGACTGTCAGTGACAAATACGATGTACATACTTCTGCTTTATACAAGGTCATGGATTAAGCTAAGACCCATTTGTAATTTTCTGTGATGAATGAAATTGGAAATGTTAAAATGTTTCATTTATATAGGTTTGGGAAAAAAGATTTTTTTTTCAGTTTTGAAATTACGTTTTATTTTAATCAAAACAAGCAAGAAAAATTATAAAAGCATTGGATAAACTGCAAGCAAAAGAAACAAAGAACAAGTGAAAGGTTTTAGATTGACCTAAAATATTTTTGTTCTTTTTTACAAAATAAAATGAAAAAATGCTGTTTTGTTTTAGCTTAAACAGATTTTTAAATCCCCCCCCCCCCAATCAGAAAAGTCAGTATTGCTTGTCTCTAGTTATGATATTATGATATTATGGTCAGGTTGTTTGCTGGATTTTGGAAATGTGTTTTTTTCCTGCAGAAAGGCAGGAGGCAAAGAGCAGGAGCTGTGAGTTCACCTTAATGAAGTCTGTACCTTTTACAGACCTTTACTCCTTGTATGGAAAGGCAAGACGCATCTATGGCCAAGTTAGAAAGTCACTTTACACTCTAAATTGCCACATGTGACCTTTTTATTTTTCTCCTGTCTGAACCCTGTCAGACAATGTCAGACAACTTCCACCGTAAAGTCAGTGGAGTCCAAACCACCATCAACACTAGTTGTGCTGAGCATTTCTAAATTTCCTAAATTGGCAGCCTGAGTTAAGTATTTAAATGCACATTAAGCATTCAAAAAGAGTGCTCTCAAAGGTGCTAGGCATCTGCAACTCCATCTTCTGTCAACAGGAGGTTCAGATACCTATGTTTTTTCAAAAATCAAGCCTTTCCTTAAGCTAGGAAATATTGCTTGAGACTAGGTAGCCGTCAGCAGGTGCTACCATTCAGCAGCTCTATTATTTTTCCAACTTCAAAGGGAGATGAGTGAGGGGTGGAAGTCCACATGGCCGTGGATAATGTAGCTGTGAGGAGCTAGCCATTTCACCTCTGAAACAATATTTGGTTTTGCAAATGTCGAAGCTCAACAGACAGTAAAGCAGAGTTTGTGCTGAAGAGCATTGATTGCTATTCTTTCACTGGCACGCTGAAATCACTTAAAATAACACTTGTTTTTTTTGCTTGGTGCTTCAAGATATCATGTAAAGCTAACTGTAAAAATAGAGTTTGCTAGGTAGCATTGCCAGGACGCATGCTTTTGTTAATAAAAACCTAAGGGATGTACTAGTACTGTATGTATATTCTAAGTGATGGTTAGAGAAAAGATAATGTAATGTTCATCCTATATGTTAGAATTCTCTAATGGATGTGTTAAATGGCTATTTTCTATTGCAGAACCACAAACTTTGGTGGCTGCACCGTCCCAGCAGGGTGTCTGAGTGACCTGGTGCACCAATCACAGTGTAACAGGCTGCATTACAGGACTCTGGGGCAAGGAGCCTGCTGCTCTTGCTGTCTGCCAATACCCATAGGTGTCACCAGCACTTACTGGCAGGGGATGAGAAAGAAATCAAAGAAAATAACAAGAAAATAACTTTCTCCTAACAGTTAGCATACGACATTTGCTTCTCCCCTCCTTTGCCTAAAAAGTATTTTTTAACAACTGCCATAGTTACAACAAAGAGAAAAGGCTGCAATTGTTGAGTGGCCATTGCAGAGTACAGTATCACCTTTCCCATGCTCTGTGATGGGATGAATCACTGCACAGCCTCTACCCCAACTTCTCTTCAAAACCAGTCACACGTTTCATGGGATGTGGTTTTAAAAAGCAGCCTGTGACTTTTCAGGCAAAATTTCCAGCTGCAATTTTTAAGATACTAATAAACATAGAAGAGCTTGGTATAATGAGTTTTTCAATAAATGACCTGAAATAAAAATGAAGTTATTTGTCTAAGTTACAGTAAATGTAGCAATATATTTAAAATGAAGAAGATACGCGTTATTTTAAGACATCGGCAGAAAGTCATACCGGTGAATCCCATTGAGGCACCTTCTCTTGATTGCCTGCGGAGCCCGTCTTCATCATGGAAATCGATGTAAACAAGGTCTATTGCTTGAAGGCCAAATGCCTTTGCTGTGACTATTATTTTTTGCCTGGCATATAGAATATCGTGAGTTTCCTTACTGCTTGTTGCACCTATGAAAATAATGAAAACAAGGAACAGCTGACAAGAGTCTTTTAAACCTTTCTGCTTTAAATATTTCCCATTTAAAAAAAACAAACAGTAAAGTTTGAGATGCTATTTAACGAATTTAGAAAACAAAAGAGGGGTGTAAGGCTATATAGCCACAATCATACTCTTCTGAGAAAAAAAATGCTGCTTTATCAAAAATTAAAAAAAAGCCATCTCTTGAAACACTAGCTCATAAATTCACATTTTGATTTGGTTTAAATTAGAAGTTGTAAGACTGAATTCAGTGTAAGCTTTCTCTGGTGAGGACTGCTGATTTGGAACTAAAATGAAGCAATTATTTGATTTTAGTATTTACTGCGTATACAGTGAGAAGCATTACAGCAAGAGAAGCTCTACAAAAATTGATATACTGGGTCCAACTAAATGGTTAAAAAATTCACACTGTGAATAGAATTGCACTTTCCTTCGTTCTGATTCTTGTCACAACTGATGTCCTAAGCTGAATATTTAAGCTTTAATATTTGAATGAAAAAATGACGGTAGATGACTTCTGAAGAAGCAAAAGTATTCATGAGACTTCATGTGCTCACAGGGCACCAGCTAATCAACATGCTCATGTGAAGACTAGTGGTAAAAAAATAATAATAATGTCACTATTTAGACATAGATTTCCAGTTTGTAAGGAATATTTTATAAAGTAATGCTAATTTTTACATTAACGTACTTATTTTTAATTTAGAAGTTGATAGCTCTGTGCTTTTATATTTATTTTTAAACTGAATCAGAAGCTAAGTGGCCTCTTATAAAAGAAATGGTGAAGCACTTTTTATTTTTTAGGAAGGCTAATAGTGCTTTCATGTGAATATGTGGCTATATTGACATGTGACATATTTAAGTACATTTATGAAAGCAAAATGTAGCAGAAGAGTATTTGTGCATGATATCAAAAGCCTGACTGACAGTTGTCTATGAAGAAGTGATGAAGCAGACACCAGAATTTTAGGACTTTTAAATGTAGTTCTAAAAAGCATGTGCATATTGCTTATTTATATAATATTTTAAAATTATTTCAGTGACTCAACAGGTTTTTTTCTCATTAATTTTTGGTGCTGAATGGCAAGAAGCACAAGAAGTATCAGTGCCCTGTAAAACCCAGGGACCATGTTTTACGTGTTTTAATTTGCCAATGATACATTCTGCACTGAAAAAAATTAATGAGAAAAGTGAAAACATAAAATGCAGAATCAAGTGTTGTCATTGTTGCTGTTGGATATGCCATGGGCTTCTCCAATGCCAATGCCATGCATAAACATTTATAGTAAAGAGACAAGTAACAACCTATGCTGGCACGGAAATCCTCTCCTCCAAAGACAACTGCGTCCAAATGAAAGCCAACCTGGGATCCTTTTTTCAGTGCTTCTTCACAGACAGCCTTCAAATGAGAACAGAGTATTAATTTCTACAGAAATGCAGGATGGAGAGACTACAGAGGATATTACTGCAACTCAGTGTTACCAAAATACTTCAGTGAAATTTGGTCCTATTAAGCAAAGCTGTGGTAGGTGCTTGACTATGCACACTGTTTTAAAATGACTCAGCAAAAGACAAAAAGTATTTTTCTTTCCCTGAGCACCTCTGTCCCTAGACTGTGTAAATACAGGACAACATAGCAGGTTCCCCACCTTCTGGTTAACATAATGCCCTGGGTATTACTGTGATCACTACTTCAGATATCTACGTAGCAATATGAAACAAAACATTTGGCAATTACTGCTTAAAAGCAAGCAAAAAGTATTAAATTTGATTAGTTTGACATGCAATATATTTGCATGACAAACATCATTAAAGATGAGAACCTCTTTTATGAAATAAATAATATGAATGGTTTAGAATTATTGTAGATTCCTTATAGGATATAAGGATTTCTTATAGGATTGTCAATTTAAAGTCTTCTGCTACATATAACTAATAATTAGCTAAGGAAGTTAAAAATGCAACAAGTGCTGCAGAAAAGCATTAAAATAAAAGTAAGAAAAATATTACTCTAAGAAGAGAGTAACAGTGCTATTTTATATCGATGTTTGGATAATGTAAGTATTTTTTAAGGCTAAGGTACTTGGAGAGAGACAGATGTCATTACCAGCTCTACTAATGGGTGTTCTTCTATGGCAGCTGGTGGGACACAAAATTATTCTTTAACAGAGTGCTTTAAAAGGCAACTCTCCTGCCAGCATCAGGAACTGCAATATTAAACCTCCACTATGAAATCCTGTAGGTGAAGAAAAACCTCAGATGGTTTAAAATATGATTTAATTCTTTGTTTGTACACTGGACAGGAGCGTGTCCGTTTGGTTACTGCTTTATTATGCTCCTAGATAGGTTAGCGTGTGCTGTAAGATAAATGGCTGTATCAAATGAGCAGGCTGCCTGTGAGGCCTGCCAGTACTTCTGGAGGTACTTCTGATCTGTGTGTCCTCAGCTGGTCTGAAACTTTTCCCTTAGAGCATGGGAGGGGAACACAGAGTTTCTTGTCCATGCACACGGTCTTTCGCTTTCATTACCATGCTGCCTTGCCTTTCTGAAAAATCTGGACTCAATAGTAAAGGTAGAGGAGTGATTTATATTAAAATGAAATTTATAAATTACTCTAAAAAATGAGCATGTTTTTCAGATATTTTCAAAGTTAATTATACTTCTAATCTTAGCATTAAACACTCCATCATATGCACAAAGAAACTATACCATGGAATTTGGTTGTAATGTTATCAGTAGAAATCATTATAAAGATGCAAGTTTAGCAATAGCGAAAGGATGATTAACTCTTTTATCTAATTAAATGTTATACAGAAGTTGAGTCTGACAGCTACTAAATAGCCAAGTGTACTGTAACACTGAGTATTCCAAATCTTTGGAGAAGCCTGTTTCCACTCCGAGTATGTTCAAAACAATAACAGGAATGCAGAGAGGTTTTGTTATTTGGCATGGACTGTCTGGAACTGTTCTGTCACTGGAATATTTTGAATTTATGAAGGCTTTTACAATACAAACATCAGAGTTCAATGTGCAAATGTTTCTGGAGATTGAACAATATGTATAGTATTTTTTAACCTCTCTTCCTTGGTGAAATTAAGGAGAGGCTGAGGAGTATTCTGCTTATCCTAGTTTGCTGAGATGGCAAAATATGAACACTTCAAGACTGGCTTACCTTGAAATTGAGCAAGCCCATTGCAGTTTCCACAAAGGGGATAAAATTCATTGGCTCTACAAGTGTTCGGCCTTTTAGATGATGTAAGAATTTGTCTGAAAACTAAAACTAGACAGAATGAGCTATCAGAGAGGAAAAAAAGAACAGTCTACTTGTATATATAACACGTTAAATATTCACCTGACTATAACAAACACCTCTCTCCACCCCAAAATCTGTTAACAAGGCCTGTGATTTGAAACTCCAGCATTCCCATACATTTGGAGGTTGGTTTGCAAGAAAAAAAAAAAATCTAGGCTTAGCACCTCTCACCCTGGCTTAGTGCAATGCAAATCCGTGGGCCCTGGAAAACAATGAAGTGCTGCTGTACCTGAGGTCCGGTTTTGTTTCAGGTCCAGCACTGCCAGCACTGGAAGCACTCCCCAGCCTTCTAAGTGGCATCCGTATTATTCATTACGGCACCATTACCCTTTTGTTCAATAGGCTTTTCTTCATAATTTTTTAGCTTACCTAGGAAGGCCTTAAAAAGGAAGTTTAATTCTTTGAAGACCAAAGCTTGCCAATTTTTTCCATGAGACCAGTTCACAGCTAGCTCTGAGCTGCCAGTGGGGTAGCCCAAATTCCAAAATCTATCATCTGGAAACATACAAAAGCTCTTGCACAGATTTTTCCCCTTTCAAAAGGAAAAAAAAAGGGGGGGGGGGAACCTTCAGCCCTATATTGTAAATCTATTATATCTGTCCAGATCGCGTAATTTGTGTCAAGATAAACATATTGCAGGTACTGCAAAAATGTAAGTAAATAAAGACAGAAATAACATGCATATATTTTAAATTTAAGGAATATTCGACTATTAATGGATATCAAAGGAAAGGGAATTTTAATCATCTCTCCATTCAGTCTCAGTTGGGTAAATCATATCTAAGAGATTTGCATAAATATAAACCATCAAAGACTTTTCATCTTCAAAGGGGGTTTCAAGACCCTATAAGCTTTGTACTGTAATCATCGCAGGTCACAACCCTGCAGGAATAAGGCTGCTATGGCAACATAAAAAACTAATGCTTAAGGCTTAGCATAATATTCTGACTAATAGAAAGGAAACTCATTTTAAAAGCTGGCAGCCTATTTACCAGAAGCTGGATTAGAGGTGTTATTTCCCCTTTTAGCTTCCCCCCACCACCCCTCCCCAAAAGAAGGAAAAATCTAATCACCCAGATCTTGAGGAAAAAAAAAAGCTTTGCAGCGATTTGCAGTAACTTTACAATTAGGCCAAAATAAATCACAGCTTTCTTCCATGAAGAATTCTGCCCTTCCCATTCCTGCTTTCATCGTCACTCTGGCCCTCTCTGTAACTTCTCTTTGGAGAAGAGAATTCCACTCAAAAATGTGCAAGGAGATAAAAAAAAAAAAAATCAGTGCAATTCACTCTGTACAGTACGGCAGGTACTACAGTGACAGAAAACAGTAAAGTTGACGCAGGCAAATGCAAAAAATGAGGTAATATAATGGTATCAGCATATATTCTTAAGATTCCTATCTGTTTTCTATTTTTTTAAGAGAAAAAAAATTGTAAAGTGCTACTGTGTGTATATTTGAGGTGCAAGTTAGGGTTTGTTTTATTTTACAATATTTTAAAAGTCATGCTCCTGGGTTTTTTGCTATCTTTTGTTTTGAAGGTAAAGCAAAAAAAGAAAAAAAAGCACATTTAATTAAATATTGCCTCCCTTCCTCTCCCTTGTAAAAGATTTGCAATAAGCACCAATACAAAAGGTAACGAGTGGAGAAGTTTCAATTAATTTTTTTTTTTTTTTCCAAAGGAGACGATTAAATGTTTCCGGCCTGGTAAAGTGTTCATTTCAGGGAGAAAGGGGAAAAAAAAAAAAGAAGGCGGAGGAAAAAAAAAACCCACAAAGCTTGGGGAGGGGATGAAGTAGCAAGGCCTCAGCAATTCTTTCAATTCCAGTGCACACCCAATAGTGTGTTGGGAAGAATGCACACTGGTCAGGATTTGTGGGAGAATTGTCCCGCTACAAAGGAGGGAGAGTTACGCTTGTTATAGTCCAATAAGCCATGCCAGTCAAACAAGTACCCACACTAGGGACAAAAGGAAAGCAAGAGATTCTCACACAAAAGAAAACAAGTAAGCCCATCTTTTAGTTGTGCATCAGCCTCCAGGTTTTCTGCTGCACATAAATAAAAATGAAGGGAGGGGAGCGGGTGGAGGGAAAGAAACAGCTTCTGGGAGGCTGAAAAATCATGCCAGAGTGAATTTTGGGTAGATTGGAAAAAGAAGGTAGTGGCGTTAAGCAGAGTGTGTTCTTTGTGTGCAAAGGTTGGGCAAAGGGAGAGGGAAGCGAAAGGAGGACAATGAGGCAGAAGCTGCTGGGATTGGCTTGTTTTCCATGATGGAAATAAAAGTTAGTGAGAGGGAAAGTGGAAGAGGATGAGGGGACAAAGAGCCCTGGTATCCCACCTCCCTGCAAAACCTACTTGGTGGCAGCAAGGGCTCTGCCATTTTGGTATCATTAATATTCATTACTGACAAGTTACGTCTAACACTTACATGGCTGTAAACCCTGAGAGGTATACTCTGGTTAATTTAATTAAATGTTGGTGGAAGGGGATGGTGTGCCTTCCATCACGAGCAGCAGAGGCCAAAGGGGCAGCGCCACAGAACGGACGGGGCTTGTCACACCCTCAGCATATCGGGCTGTGCTCAGCTGTACGTTCATGCCTGATCTCCATGGTTTGATCAAGGTTAGATGCTGAGATTAAAATAGATCCTAATATGCCTGTCTGCCTTTCATCACAGCTTGCACACTTGCTAGTTGCTTGTCTAATGGTTTGCAAAAATATAAAGTGAATAATTAAGCATTATTCCTTTACTGTCATGTTGCAGCAATAATGGTATATCTAAAAAAGTGTCCCTCTTTTTTGACAATTAAAACAATTATAGCATAATTAGGCCTATTTCAAAGTTTTCTTAAGTAATTTGACATGCTAACCATTTACATTTCAGGTTTTTATTGGCTGAAAAGTCAGTTGTGAAACAAACACACCTGTCAGCAATTAAAAAGGAAGAAATAGAGAACTGTTCAGGAAATAATATCTGTGCTAATTAAAAACACTAGTTAAAAGCTTCCTGTTTGTTCCTCCAGTTGCCCCAAGGAGTGACCTTCCCCCCAAACCCATTTTTTCATATGTTGCTAACATGGTTTCCCATCTTCTGCTTCCAATGCACGTAACTAAGGCTCATGGACAGACACTAATTTTGCTTTTCAGAATAGTTAGAGAAGCATCAGGCACTTACTCTTCTATTTTTGATCATAAACTCTGACAGCAATATTGGTTCTTGGTTGACCGTGGGAGAAATAAACCTGGGTTTCTTTATAAATGCAACATGGTCCATATATGTTTTTTATACAGCACATCACACACACATTTAAGTGGATGCATTTCCCAACTAGCTTAGTCAAGCAACAACATTATATGGTATATTTGCAGCCTTCCCCTTAACTTACAGCCATTCATGTCTGTGCCTGTGTGAACTTGGCCCAAGAGCTTCAGTCAAAAGCTACTGTGTTGTTGGTACTCACCCATCTTATTTCTTCAACATTTTCAACCTTTGGCAGCATCATGCTTGAAGGAAGGGTCTTGGACCGCAAAAGCACCTCTAGATCTTCTTCTGCAAGGCCGCTGGACACAGAGTTTATCCTGACACATTTTTCGGCATGGCCAAAGTCAAACTCTTCAAGGGTTTTCACAATGGCCAGTCTTGCTTCTTTCTACAATATATATGAGTTTAGAGGCACAAGAAAAGAAAAATAAAGAATATTTTCTATTGACAGAAAAAGTCACTGAGAAGAAAACTTGTTGAAATACATAGGGAAAAAGCTGGACAGCCAGTACACTGGTGTCTCTCAAATGGCTGTCACTCTTGGAGCAGTTGTCACCAGCACCTTGCAATTTTACCTTCCACTTTACTGTTTCTTTATAACTGGTAAATTAAATGCTTAGGGTTTCTACCAAAACAAGACTTTTGTGTCTGCTACCGCTGAACATGTCTAACAAACGCAAATCTTTACATTAAGAAAATGTGTTGCACTAACTATCTACTGTCTCAAAAATTGGAATGTTATTAAATCTGCATAAAACAACTAATTTTTGTAATTCATCTCTATATTGCCTGGACATCAATAAGCACAGATGTACATATACTTCTTTGGTTTTCCTTTTCTGCATGTATTCAAAGTGTACTAAAGCCAGTAGTCGAGTTTACAACTTGCATATGAAAACAACACTGAAATAACTTGGAGATTTTTCTTAAACCTCATAAAAAGATATTCTGCTGGCAAAAAATAAAATCTCCAAAAACACATGCTTCTCCTGGTAGCTTACTTTGTGAATGCAGATTTACAAATCCGTTAAACAGTTGATTTCCATGAAGAATACTTGCATGCTTTTCTGAAATGAAGTGAATTTCTTGGCCTTGAGAAAGGGGTAGGGGTGGAAGGAGGGTGCTGGGCTTCCTGCTTCCTGCCAACTGCAGTTTCAACCCCAAATTCCTTCCACTCACCAACAGCCCCTAACAAATTCGCATTGTCAAAATGCACACTTATCAAAAGTCATTTCATTTGTGAAGAGTTTTTATGGGGCTAATAAAACTTTAAAGCTCCTGACTCATGGAGGTTCAGTAATGACTTTAACAATATGCAGTCGCTGAATAGGGATGCTTTTCAAGAAAACAGGAAAACTCAAGGGGAAAAAATAATAAAAAAAAAATCATCAAAGTTAATATCCAGGCTAATACCAATCAGCAAGAGAGCACATGACAGTAGATTTAAACCAGACGGATACAAATCTCTGCCAGTGAGAGGAGCAGAGGTGGTTTCCCAGTGTGGTCTGAGTTAAACAGTGTGAGGGAACAGTAGCTTACAGTTGTCAGGCCCGATGAGAACAGCGTCTCCCAGGCCAGTTTAAGACAGCTCTGCAGCGTACTGATTTACAGGGCTGGGACCCCTGATAATTAGGGTAAGTTTAGAGCAAAGCAGTTGATGGCTCTAACTGGTTAAAAGAAAGGAATAATGAAGCAGAAAGCTAATGAAATCTGAAGTGAACAGCCTTCAGCTTGGGGCTACTAGCCATGCTTCTCCCAAGGTTGGGAGCATATGCCCGTTAATCGGACAGACAGGCACAAGGAGCCCATGAATGTATCCCTGTGTTGCGATCAGGGGGCACGTTCAGAGGTAATCTTTGGAAAATGAAACCCAAAACATTTGAACTGCTGTGAATGGACTTTGTCTGGGGCCATTAGGGAAGCCACATAAAGATGTATGCAGTTTAGTACAAACATGTCCAGCTGGAAGACAGCTCTGGTGCATAGCTGTCTAAAATGGCTCTTCCAAATTAGGTAAACCGAACCATATGATGCTAATACTGGGTAATACAAGTCCCCTATGTTTTCCTTCTCTAACCAGAGGTAATGGGTTTCTAGGGCTGGGCTGAAAGCTTCTGGATATGATGCTTAAAAACACACTCCAAACCAATTTATGCTTTTAATTAAAGTCAGATTATCACTGTTTCAGCACACACCGATCCAATTTGCAAAAGAGAGATCTCTCCAAAGTATCCACTAAGGCAGCATCCAATTCCAAATGAAGGCACATCTCTAGCAAACTTGCAAACTAATTTTTTGTGATTTTTTTTTTCCCCAGAATATAATAACAAGTAATAGATCGTCTCATATCTCTTTTTCTCCTCAGTCTGCAAACTCCCTTCCCAAAAAAGACAGATCATGTCTTTCTAGGTATATTTCCATACAAAACACTTATTAACAGGCTGTTGCTGTTATCAATTTACATAAACTAAATGTGCATCCCTCTGGTACATATCCCAAAAATAACCAACAACTTCACTGAATTTATACCAACCAACAAACATGGGGAGGGGGTTGTTGTTTTTTCCCCATATTTTAATAGAAAATATGTTGCTATGTTAGTTAACACACCCATGCCATCTGTTGGGTTGAGAATTGATGCATTTTCTTAGAACCGCTACATTTTAGATCTGCCTGCCTAGATACTCCAGGAATGGAAACATTTCCCTTCCGTGATATAGTACTTCTACTCACTGCAGTTTCCACATCAAGATTCAGTTTATGTTTTTGATTGTGGAACAAACTGAGGGCACCTGGCTGCCAAAGCCAGAGCTCATGATGGGGCTGACTCAGTGCCGACCCTTCCTACAATGGAGAAAATCCCATTGATGTTCGTGGGGTGTATCAGCTCTCCACGCAGGTTTCCAATAAAACATTTCATAGGTAAATAAAAAAAATATGCTAAAACCTCTGACTAAATCTAAAACTACAGAGGAAAGGGAGAGCCCTTTCTGCCTCGTTACACAGGGAAATGTAGATGCTACTCTTATGGTAGGATTAATGAAAAAGCGAAAATTCTAAGCTAGGTAAACTACTTTAACATAAAACAGAGAAAAAAGTAGTCCTTGACATAATAACATATTTACAGAAGTAGATGCAGAAATAAACACATTTTTCAGACACTGCCAAGAATGAGCAAATGAGAATTTTTAAGGAATGGTGAAAGAAGTTATTTGCCCTGTTCTTCACACAAGAACTACAACATCAGATAATACTTGGTCATGAAAGAATAGTTGAGAAAGAAATAAACTTGATTGTTAAGTAAACTATTCCACGCCCAGGTAGCTTGGGATGGTGGTATCCTCATTGGGTCCTGCATGAGTAGGGTTCTTAACTGAACTAGGGAGAAAGACAACAGAGAGCTTCATGGTAAACTGTGGTACTACTAAAGATATTAAATTTGCAACCTGTGTTGGAAAGCCCACTGGGAAAAAAAAAGTTGTTCAGGGTGGCTACTTTAGTATCCCTTCTGTTTGACTCTGAGGAGGACACAGGAAGATGTTCATTACCACGTGCAGCTACGCCAACTGGAGAAGATAAAGGTTTTGGTGACACAGCATTGCTGACAAACCCACTGCTACCCAGACACACAAACACTGAAATAAAAATTGGGAATACGCGTATTGCTGGCTCGACTGGCACCCATTAAACCTAATAACTAACCATCCTCGAGAGTTTCTAGCTCTGAATTATCAAATTTGCAAAGAAAACAACATCCGTCCACTTTTACACTCCAGTGGAAGAGGTGGTCCCTCGCGGCAGGGCTGCGCGGTCTCGCCATCTGGAGAATAAATCGAGTGTGAAGTACAGTATAGTTTGGGACCAAGCTCCGTGGCGGCAGCCCAGCAGTTAGTTCATTAGTCCCAAACTTGCGGGGATTAGTGCGGTATCAGCTCTACTGTTGGATGGGATCAGGCAGGCAGAGCGCGAGACTTGAGGAAGGGGGTGGTGCTAAAGAAGGAGCCCCTTGGGCTTATTTATAAAACTACACAGTATAAGCGCACCTAAATAGGTGCTTTTGGTTAACAGTTTTAGAAACAGTTTCCTATCGGCTGAATCAGTACCTTTTCATTTTTCCTTCTTTTCTTTATTTCCCCTGCTTTTTCCTTTAAGTTATATGTCAAGAATAGAAATTTCTGCTTCAAAACAGAAGGAATGCCAATGAGCTGGAAGCTCAGCCACCCACTCACTCTGGACACACTGTTAATACAGCAAAAATGAAGCAAAGATGGTCAGATTAACAGCAGATGGAAAAATTACATTTTCTTCTTTCTTTTCAAACTGGTATGATACCCTAGAAATCAGTTTTCCAGCACTGTGATTTCTAGATCTACCTGATTTTGAGGACAAAATTTCCGTTTTGCTTTAACATTCTTGCCTAGTTGTAACCTCTTTTTTTCTAAAGACCTTCAGGTCTTAATTATAAAGATAGTGGTCATACTTAAAGATATGTTTATTTATAGATCTCATCCTGTTAAAATCTTTTGGTAATAATTCTTCATATGGAAATATAAATATGTGATGCACTAAAATGGCGGGCCAGGATCTATCATCCCCATTGCCATAATAAGTTGGCATATTTCAAATGCGAGAGGAAAAATTAATTACTATAATCACAATTGAAGTTCTTTTTTTGTGACAGGTCTGACATGATAAAAACATACAATTTAGTGTTAATGTTAATTCCTTGGAGCGGTTTGTTTACAGGACTTGACATTGCTGAATCTTTTGTCACTTATATTAGTGCCTGCCCTACGAATGTGCCTTTCAAATAAGATTTCGCAGAAGTGCACATATATATTATATACCCATAGTGGCTTTTGTGCAGAATTGAGTTTCTGCAGGAGGAAAGCCTGACATTTTTGCATGTTTAATTTTCCATCAATGAAGTGATGCCATACAGAATGATATTTCATTTAGTTTCAAATTCACAAATGACATTGTCAAGAGAAAAGACAAATTACATTTTTTTTTAAGGAAACGAAGAGAACTCTTAACTGTGGGGTAGAGCATTTCTGAGAGCAGGAGGTGCTTGTCTCATGAGACTTGCCTTCTACCTTACATGCATCAGGTACTTGTGAGAAAAAAATCTTTGACATGGCAGATACTTATTTCTAGTTAGCCTTGTTAGACTGAAAAACTGTTGTAAAATATGCATACATCACGAAGTCTCCAGGAAGTGGTTATTAAATATTTTCTTATTGTTATCCTTGAGCAGGTAACCAGTTAATGAGTTTTTAAAGACTTAGGAAATTTTAAAACACATTTTCTTTTGGTTCAACATGGAATACACCAAACCCACCATGTAACTAATCCTAAATGAAAGAAAGGGCAGGAGAGGGGAAGAAG